CTCTAGGACCAGAGTCCGGTGTAGGACCTGGACCAGGTACAGTGGCTTGGGCAGTGTCACAGGCCTTCCCAGACAAGCCCCGGTCCCTTGTGAGGGGAGCCATGTGCGGCTCCTCTGGGTCGGACTCCATGCTGGCCTTGCTGGGCAGCCGGGCACAACTGCCCCTCAGAAAGGGGATGAAGCGGGGTCTGCCAGCCTCCTTCCCACTTCATTTTTGATGTTCTGCAAAAAGGGGGATGGGCAGCCGCCCGGAGACCTCACAGCCCCACCTTCCTGTGCTCCCAGGCCCTCCTCCCTGTGCTCCTGCACACTCCCCCTGTGCTCCCAGATCACACACAGACCTGGGTGTGCACAGCCCTGTACCCAGGACGCAGCGACCCATCCCTGCAGGGCCGGGGTCAGCCCTGGGCAGAAGGGCACAGCCTCCCCACCCCATCCAACCAGAGAGCCTGGACCTGGGGAGTGAGCACCACCTGCCCACCAGGTTCTGACCCCTCATCAGCCTTCTCCTGTTCGCATGCCACATGACCCCTGCCGCCTCCCACATGCACCCTCAGGGAGGGGACCCGGGGCTGCAAAGGTCTGGTCAGAGGGGTGTGGGGCTGGCGGGACGGCCCTGGGTCCCGTGTTTTCTTTCTACCCTTTCTTCTATTTTTTTTTAATTTTTTTAAATTTTTTTTTAATTTTTTTTTAATTTTTTAAAAAATTTTTATTGATTTATGATAATCACACAGATAGAGAGAGAGAGAGAGGCAGAGACACAGGCAGAGGGAGAAGCAAGCTCCATGCACTGGGAGCCCGACGTGGGATTCGATCCCGTGTCTCCAGGATCGGGCCCTGGGCCAAAGGCAGGCGCCAAACCGCTGCGCCACCCAGGGATCCCTCGACTCTTCCTTCTAAATGGCCAGAGGCGTCGGGGAGCCCTGACAGGACACTCCCCGCGGTGGGCACTGCTGGCAGGGCGTGCAGTCCTCCCTCTGCAACATCCAGACATGTGGAAGCAGCAGGAAAACATGCTCTTGGATAGATGATCTCCAACCAAGTGAGCATGTAGAGGCCTGTCTCTGGAATGCGGGTGCCTGGTTACCCGGTTCCAAAACAGGGGGGTCTGGTCAGGGAGGTGAGGTCAACATGGCCTCCTCACCCAACTTCTCCTCACACAGGTGCCCTCCGACCGCCCTCCACCCGAGGGGCTCTTTGCTCACCATCCACCCCCGCCCCGTCCACACAGTCTCACCCACACAGCCCCCCCACCCCTGGGCTCAGCCTCAGGCTTGGCCTCGTGGGCTCCGCCTCTAGGAGGGGAGTCAGGTTCAGGACCAGCACGGGCAGTGACCCGGGCAGCATCTGGCCAGGAGGACTTCCCCGGCCTTCTCCGGGCCCTGGATCTGGAAACCCTTCCTTGGCGACACTCATCCTGAGCCTCTACTGGCCTGCACTGGCGGGGTGGTGCCCCTGCCCTCCCTCCAAAGCTGGAGCAGGTGTCCGCTGCCCAGCCCCCTGCCCATCTCCTGTGTGGCGCTCTGCAGAGACAGTGCCCGGCAGCCCCCCTGGAGGCATCGCAGCCCCGCCTGGCCCTCTCCACTGTCCTGTGCCCCGACCTCCTGCTCCCAGGTCGGACACACACGTGTCTGAGGGCTGACAGAGGGTCTCCGAGGACCGGTCCTGTCAGGTGCCCTGGAGGCAGGAGGGCAGACAGCAGCTCAGGGGCCTGGCCCTCCCTCCCACACAGACCCCTGAGCCCCTGGGGATGGTCCAGCCCGACCCCTGGCTCACCCCAGCCACCCCCAAGGCCACCCAGGCAGGGGCAGGTCTGGGCAGCAGGCGGGGCTGGATGGCCCCACAGGGGGGAGCCCTCCATCCATGGTGTGAGCGCCCCTGCCTGCCTCAGGGGAGTTGACCCCCCTCCCTCCTCCCTTGTCTGTCTGGGTCCCCCTTCTGCACTGGAGATGCCAGGAGGGTGGGCATGGGGCACCGGGTCTGACCTGTCCCTGCCCTGGCCGCACACAGTAGGTGCTGCTACTTCTGTATGTGAGGGGGAGGCCCAGGCGAATCCCCTGCGCAGCCTGCCCAGTGTCCCTGTCAGGGCCCCTCGATGCCCCGCCCCTGCACTGACATCTGTCCCACTCCCTTCAGGGCACATGGGGTCTCCTCCTCTCCCTGAAGCTGCTCTGGGTGACGGCAGCCCCCACCCCGTCCACCTCCCACATGCCGCGGGGCTGGGGGACTGAGGTGTGAGGCCTGGATGTGAGTGGGGGGCCCCAGGGTCGGGTCAGGACAGGTTGGGCTGGGGTGGGCAGTGGAGGGGCCACTCCCCTCAAGGCACAACCTCAGCCCCCAGCCTCCCCGCTGCTCCTTGGCTGCGGGACCCCGGCCACACCTCTCTGACTCCCGTGCTCCTGCACGAGGGGCCCCCACACCTCAGCCCTGCCACAGGAATCATAGGATGTGGGGGGCCGGGCTCTGTCCTGCCCCACCCCCCAAAGCCCCGCATGTCCCCCTCCTCGGAGACGGGGTCTCTTCGTCCTCGGGTCCCTCATCCTTCTGACAACGAGGTAGAGGAATCCCTGTGGAGAGGAGGCCACCAGGCCCAGGTCCAGGGCTCCCGGTGACTCCCCGACTAGAGCGGGAGCCCGGAGCCCAGGGAGTTGTGTCTGCCGCGGACGCTGAATCATGCACAATGTCCTGAAGGGGCTTCGTGTCCATTTGGCGACTGAATGAAGCCCACCCAGCAGCTTCCAGGTGGCTGAGTGGGTCTGGGGCCCCCTGCCAGCCCCCAGGCCTCCCTGCTCTGGCGACACCCAGGATGGGGCCCCGGATGGAATCTGCGACCTCCTCACAGCCAGACTGTGAGGACAGGGGCTTTGCCCCGACACAGGATGCGGGGCCTGAGGCAGAGAGCTTCTCCGGGGCAGAGAGGACCCACCTCAGCCCCAGGGCCCTCCATGGGCGGCCACAGGACAGGTGACATAGGAGAGGGCGCTGCCCTGGCTCCAGCAGCTCCCAGGGTGGCAGCACTGACCTCCACACCCTCGGGCTCTCACCACCTGCAGGGCTGACTCATTTTCACAACGGGGCTGAGCTGTGGACAACGGAGGGACACTTCACAATATAAACCGTGCAAAAATATTCCTGTCGCCTCCTGAAGGGCAACTCTTTGTGAACGGTTGATTCGGATCATCTTACACGTGTGTGAAGAGTGGTTTGTCCCTGGTCAGGGCTGGGGCTGGACCGGGGTGGGGAGGGTGGGGTGGACGGAGGGAGCGGCCCAGACTCCTTGGGTTGAGGCCATGGCCACATGAGGGGCAAAGCCCTTGGGGAACCCTGGGGAGTCAGTCTCCTGGATGACCTGGGGCAGGAGGCCCTCCCTTGGCCCTCCCCAAGCCGGGCTCTGGGGACCTCTCCACATCACAGCCCCCTGAGCTCCCCGGCCCCTGGTTGGTGGCATGGCACTCATCTCACCGTGGTCCTGAATCCCGAGCCCAGCCCCCCCGGGTCAGTGCCCTGGTGGCCGCCCCCAGCACCGTCAAGTCACCAGGTGGTCAGGGTGCACCCCCTCGGGGCCCAGAGGTCAGATAGAGCAGGCTCAGCAAGCACTGCAGCAGCAGGGGGAGGGCTGGGGGCGACCCTCCTCTCCTCACCGGGAGGCCGGCCCCTGCCTCTCTCTGGCCTTAAGCACACTCACCTTCTTTGGCTGCCTGGGCTCTCTGGGGTTCATCTCCAGGGTGGCAACCTTGCAGGTCCCCTCCTGCCAGGGTCATCCTTCTATGTCGGTTTACAAGTAGCCCCCAGGGCCCCCTAGATGATCTTGGGAGCACCCCAACCCCACCTGCCTGTCCCAGAAGCCCGCCCATGCCATTGGGTCCTTAGTGCCCTGAAAGTGTCTTGCTCAGTGTGGCTGCGCGTCCAGGTTGCTATTCAATTGGCAGGGGCTCCCCCCCTCCCCCGTCCTGCTGTGTCCCCAGCACCCCCAGTACCAGGAGCATAGCGGTGAACAGTAACAAGTCCGATTACCCCTGTGGGTTTTCACCAGCCTTCACCCTGCAGCGTTCCAAGGGACCCTCCGGGGACAGGGGATGATAGGGGCCAGGTGGGCCACCAGCGCAGTATCCTCGGTGGTGTGGGTGGGGGCCGCTGCCCTGACCCAGTTCCTACATCCAGGACAGGACGGGGGCCTCCTCGTGTCGCTGACTATGCTGCCCAGACCTGAGTAGTCCCGGGGGGCAGCCTGGGCCGCCCCTCCCCACAGGGCCTGCTTCTGCAGCCTGGCATGCCTCTCTTTCCCCCCACGCCACCCCCAGGAACCGCTGTTCACAACTGGGTTGTATACTGTGTTTGCATTTTGAGGTCTCCTGGCTCCTCACCGCTGGCCTCTCTGCAGCTCCGAGCGGTGGGGGGCCAACACCTCCCTGAGACCTCAGGGCCATGTCCTTCCTGCAGTGGGAAGTACCGTCTGGTGAAAGCCACAGAGGGACCCTCAGGTCACCTTCCTGAAATCTGGATTTTCATCCTGAAGTGTGCAAGTTAAAGCGGTGCTGGTCAGCCGGTGCTCCCTTCCCCGCACCTTTGTAAATCTCATGGGCACATGGCACCCGCAGACGACAGCAGGGACGCCCTGCCATGCACCCTCACCTCCCCCAGGAAGAGGCCAGGTGGACGCCGGAACCCGTCTCCCTGTGCCCGTTTGCACGGGACATGGACTAGCACGGGTGGGCAGGTGCCCACGTACAGGAGGGCTGCCTGGTCCCAGATTCCACTCCTGGATGCCCCCTGCAGAGGCCTCCCAAATGAGCAGGTGTCACCAAGTGCTGCGTTGCTCGAGCACTCGAGAGTGTGGGCTGTGTGGCGGCCTGACCCCTTGGTGGTCAGACTCTTTGGGTCTGACCCACAGGTGGCTTGAGAGCACCGTGCGCTCTGTGGGCCCTGTGGGTGTCGCACAAATGCCATATCCACAAGCAAAAGCATATAAACCACAACGTGGAACTCACACGCCCCAAACGCTCATTTGTTCAAACCTAAGCTTTATTCTGCGGGAATCCTGGGGTTTGCTTTGCTGGTTCGTTCCAACCTTGGTGTGCTCCTCTGGGGGACTTGCCCTGCAGCCTTAGGTTACAAAGCAGCTCCAGAAACAGTGAAGTGGAGGAAGCAGCCCGGCCCTGGCATAGTTTGGTAGGGAACGAAAAGTCACCTGGCATGGGAGCATCCGATGCACAAGGACCCGATTCAAGGCATGAGTGAGGCTTTTCAGAGTCCAAGACAAGCGTGTTTCCTGCCGGGTCCTCTCTGGAAAGGCTGCGTGACCTCCGTGGGCCTGCTGGGCCCCAAAGGTCTCAAGTGGAGCCCTGGGGGGTGGGGGGGGAAGGGGGCAGCTGCCAAATGGTGACCAGGAGCAGGGACCCAATCCATGCCTAGAGCAATGGGGAACCTGCTAAGGACCCGGCCAGACACAGGAAGAGGCTTCCTGCTCAGGGTCAGGGTTGGCTGCCACTCTACTTCAGGACCAGAGCAGGTAGGTCCCCAGGAGTGTCCCAGGCGCAGTCTGGTCTAAGCCTTCAGGGAAGGAGGGGCAGCTGGCCCCTGGCCCCTGGCCCCCGGCCCCTCCTTGCCCTGCAGTTCATACAGGGCCTCGATCTGCCTCCGCTTCTGCTTGGCCCGGTTGATGGTGGTCCGGAAGAGCCTGCAGAAGAGGTGCACAGCCGGGGGCGAGTCATCATTGCCAGGGATGGGGTATGTGATGAGGGATGGGTTGCAGTTGGTGTCCACGATGCCCACCGTGGGAATGTGCATCTTGGCCGCATCTCTCACAGCGACATGGGGCTCGAAGACATTGTTGAGTGTATGCAAGAAGATGATGAGGTCCGGCAGGCGGACCATGGAGCCCAAGAGGAGAGAGCTGTTGGTCAGCAGGCCACCCTTGAAGTAGCGGGTGTGGGCATACTCGCCGCAGTCCTGGGCCGTGGTCTCGATCAGGTGTGAGAACTGCCGGTTGCGGCTCACGAACAAGATGATGCCCTTGCGATAGGCCACATGGGCCGTGAAATTCAATGCCAGCTGCAGGTGCACGGCCGTCTGTTCCAAGTCGATGATGTCCTGGCCCAGGCGGCTCCCAAAAATATATGGCTCCATAAACCTGCCATAGACCCCACCAAGGCTAGAGTGGGCAAAGGGCATGTGGCCAACCCCCCACCCACCAGCCACAGCCTTGGGGGCTGCGAGGCACGTGCCTCCTGGGGCTCCCCAATCCTGGGCACAATTTGCGACCCTGCCACTGTGACAGCAGTGTCCAGAGACAGTCAAGTGGCAGTGAGGATAGGGTGAGGGTGCCCCAGCTCTTCTGCCCCTGGGAGCTGGGCCCCATTGCTATTCCCCTAGATGTCTTCCACCACCTCCCTCCCTGGCTTCCCAAATGTCCCTCCAAAACATCGTCAAGGCAGTTGAGCCCTATCTCAGTAACCCTGGAGACCCCTGGCCCCAGCTCACACGACTTGCTGGTGATGGGTCTGCCCCTGGTAGGACCCTGAGACACAGAGGAGGAAATCTGGGGTGGGGGCTGAAGCGGAGTCTGAGGATAAAGCCCTGCTTCTCCCTGAGCTTCAGGGCCTCATGTGGAACAGGATGGGGCTGCACGCATACTGATAGATGCCTTGGACTACAAGGATCCCAAGCAGGAGTGCCCCAGGTCCCGCAGGTACCCCCACACTGGGCCCAGGGTGTCCGCTACCTGTGCCGACAGCCGGCTTTGTGCCCCAGGTGCACCCGGGCGTTGAAGAGACTTCTCACAGAAAACAACTCCTTGACGTTGAAGAAATCTGAGTGCTTGAGAGGCTCACTGAGGATACTGTGGCTGATATCTGGGGCAAGGAGAGGATGCTGTGCTCTGTGACCCCTTGGCTCCCACTGTGGAGGGGAGCTATATGGGGGCGGGAAGGCCCAGCAGCAGAGGGTGACCGAGCCACCGGGTCCTCCCCAACACACTGGGGCTGGAGCCAGGTTTGACCCCGGCTTTGCTCCTGGGCAGTCCCTGTCAAGTCTTCACCCAGAAAGGAGGGGCCCAGCTGGCTTCTGAGGTCCTTCTGGACGGCCCAGCCCCCAGAGGAAGGAAGGTGCCATCCATCAGGAGTCCAGGGAGGGCCCTTCCAAGGAGCCAGGCCACATGTCTACCCCACCCACCCGCCGCTGCACTCCCCGCAGTGCCGGCCTTAGCCCGGTCCTCAGCTGAAGGCTGAGGGACGGCGGGGCAGCCGCTGCAGGTGCAGGTGACCCCTGCCCCCTGCCCCAGCCCGCGGGTCTGCTGCCTCCCTGCCTGCCTCCCTCCCTGCCTGCCTGCCGGGGCGCGCACCCCTCTCCTCCCCACCACCCCGCAGCTTCGCACTCGGGACTCCTCGTGGCAGGCTCAGCCCCGTGGGAGGGCCAGGTCCCTCCCCCCCCCCCCCCCCCCCGGCGCGGAGGGGAGCCTGCCTTACCCTGCCTTACCCGTGCTGCCCTCCGGCTCGCCGACGGCGGGGATCGCGGCGCCTGCCAAGGTCCTGCCGCCGGGCCGGGCCCGCCCCGGGGTCGCCGTCCCGAGCAGAGGCGGCCGCAGCGCCCGGGGCCAGACACCTGCGGGGAGAGCCGGCTGTCCTAGCGGCGGTCCCTGCGGCGGTCCCTGCGGGCCCCCACCCCGCTCCCCGCAGGCCTCGGGGCAGCTCCCGCCCGCACCCCCCACGCCCGCCGCGGTCCCCGGGGCCCCTCCGCGCGCACTCACCCGCGCCGAGCAGCCGGGGCGCGGTCGCGGCGGGAGCCATGGCGCGGAGGACGACCCGGCGGGGACACGCTCTCGGGGCCGCGCTGCTTCCGCCCCCGCCGGCGCCCCCGCCGCAGCGCCGCCTGCCGGCCCGGAGGTGCCCCTGCGCGCCCCTGCGCGCCCCGCCCCGCCCCCCACAGCGCGGCCCCGCCCCCGCCCCCGCCCCGCCCCCACTGCTCGGGGCCGCCCCCGCCCCGCCCACGTCCGCGCGCGCCGCGAGCCCCACTTCGGCCCGCCGCGGGCCGGGAGTCACCGGGGCGCGCCCCCCGCCCTGCCCCCGGCTCGGCCCTGCAGCCCGCACGAGTCCCGGTCCCGGGGCGCCCTCCTAGCACAACCTGCCGCTCTCCCCAGGAGCATCCCGGAGGACCGGGCGCAGGTGGAGTCTGCCCTGCGCCTCCGGGCGCCGGGCGGCCGTGCGGAGCTGGGCGTGGGCTTCCCGCACCCCCCGCCTGAGCCGGCCCGGGGGCAAATCCGCGCTCGCCCCCCACCGCGCAGGAGCGGCCACGGCCTCCCGCCTCCCCGAGCGCGGCGCCTTCGGGGCGGGGCCGCCCGGTCAGCTGACCCGGCCGTCGCCTGGCAACGGGACGCCGCGCCGCCTCTCGCGGCCTCCCACCCGCCGCGGCGCGGGAGCCCAGGCGCATGTCCGAGGCGAGCCCCCGAGAGTGCGCGGCGGCCGAGGAGCCCCCCGCCCCCGCGGGGCCCCCGCCGAGGACCAGCGACTACTACTGCGTGGACGAGAACCTGCCCGTCAGGTTCAACAACCCGGCGTGGTTCCGGGGCTACGGGTGAGGACGGATCGGGTCAGGGGCCACCGGGCCAGCGCAGGGCCTGGAGGGGGCGGCGGGGCTCCCCAGTCCCCAGCCTGCCCTGCAGCCCAGGTCAACGGACTTGCCCGCGGTTAGCACCCAGGGAGCGAGGAAGTGCTGCCCGAAGCTGCAGACCCGCCTGCGGGGGTCCTCGGGTCACTGCAGGAGGGGCGGGGTGGCCAGGCAGCCGCACCCCGCCGCACCCCGCCGCACCCTGCCCCACCCAGCCGCACGCCTCTCCAGCTGAGCGCAGTCTCTGCAGAATCGGAATCCCGCAACCCCCCCCCCCCCGCAGCAGTTCTTGCAGCCTTAGACCCAAGTAGTAGAACACCCTCCACCACACCTGCCCCGCCCTCCCTCACCTAGTCTCCTCTGCAGGCCGGTAGACCAGATCTGTTAGTGTTCTTGCTTTCCAGGAGAGACTGCTGAGGGTGGAAGCATAGCATCCTGCCCCAGATCTGGTGGCATAAGGCACAGCTGACATCCCAACCACAGCCTGGGCTTTAGAGACTGTAGGCATGTTTTCTGCCCAGGGCTCTGAAAGTGAAGGGACACTCCCACCCTGGGGTGGCAGGGTGTGGAGGCTGAGCCCTGGGTCCTGACCTACCCATCTACCCGGGAAATGACGGTATGTGCCAAGTCTCCACCAGGGTTGAGGTCTGCATTTGCCCTCCAGGAGTTCTTTAGGGCTTTGGCCTCCCTTGGGGAAGAGCCAGGGTGGAAGTGAGCCGAGGAGGCAGGGAGGCTCATTGTGCCTCCCGCGGGACCCCACCTTCAGAGCCTCATCACCAACCTGTGGCATTCCCAACAGAGCGCCACCAAGTGAATATTCTAAGACTACAGGCTTGGGCAGAATTGGAGTAACTGTTTCTCATCTGCCAGGACCAAGGAGCCTGTCTCCATGTACAGGACCAGTAACCAAGCTTATGGGAGCAGGGCCCCCACCGTGCATGAGATGCCGGTAAGCCAAGCTGGAAGCACCTGTGTGTCGTTGGAACGTCTCCAGGAGGAGGCTGTGACCCTGGATTTCTCATGAGGGGGCAGTGGGGAAGGGCCCAGATTTCCAACCTCACAAAACTGGAGGTGGCACATCAAGTCCTTTCCAGACAGAGCAGAGCGGAAATGAGTGAGAGAGCAAACTTAGCGATGGAATGTGTCAAAGATGGAAAAGGTGTGTGTAGACTGGCTTGAGACGTCCCACCCCCTCTGTCATCTTAAGGCCATGAGTTTTGAGGCAGACAAGTGAACAGCTGCTTTCTTTCTGGAATAATACTTGATTTTAATGAACTTGTGGCCTAAAGAGACAGGATGGGCCAAAATCACAGGTGGCAGGAGGACAAGGCATCCTCTTGACAAAGCATCCATCCCCACGTGGCTGAGGATCTGTGCACCTTTGGGGAATCCTCACCCCCTTCTGGAGGTTGATGTCACAGTCTGGAACTCTAGAACCCCCTTCTGAAGCCCCCTGGTGTCTCTCTTGGGCCCAGGTGAAGGGCCAGGCTGACCAGCGTAAGCATTCCCTGGATAACTCAGGACAGCAGGGCCACCCACTTTGGGCTGATGATGCTGTTGTTTCTTCTGAAATACTCACCATTTAAAGAGATCTGGCCAAGTTGCTCATTTGCTTGTTTCACATGGGAGATACAGCCCTTGTGAGGAGATTATTTATCTAGAAAGTTTCTAAAGCATTTAAGGGTCACTCACCCAGAATCAAAATGATTCCACATTTTTCCCAGGATCAGGTATTAACATGAAAAATACCAGCACACTCAACTCACTAACATGGGTCCAAATGTTTTACTTTTAGAAACAAGACCATTGAAAAAAAAAGTTCCTATTTTTTTTAAATTGTGGGGGTTTGCCCCTCGCTGGTCTAAGTAGGCGATGGGCCTTGAAGCACTAGGTGCTCTGCAGGCAGGGTCGGAAGGAGGTTCTTCCTGCTGCTAATTGACGGGCTTTACCTGCAGACTCAGGTGAGGATACGGAAAAGCGGACTGCAGCTAAAGCTGGTCAGTAAGCAGCAGGAAGAACCTCCTTCTGACCTACAATCTTTAAAAAAAAAAAGAAAGAAAGAAAGAAAAGAAAGAAATGCACTGAAGACATTTATTTTTGCCCCTGCCTCCTGCCAAGCAAAAAGAGTATCAGGTGGTCTTGACACGAGGAGAGCTGAAGAGCGGGTCACCTGTCCGGGGTAAAACACCTAGCCCTGGCCCTGTACGTCAGAAATCTCAGGGTCTCCCCAATGACGCTGTGCTGCTGGTCCAATCACCACCCTGGGTGCCTGTGCACATGCGCGTGGACTCGACTGTGCTCCCCACCGGGCCCTCACCTCACTAGGGCAGCACCTCCCCACGCCCCTGGGCTGGTGGGGTGTGGGCATCAGAGGCATCTTAAAGCTCTACAAGGGATTTGAGCGTGCAGTCGGGGTTGAAACCCACAGATGTGGAGTTCGTCTCTTCTTTACAGAAGAGAAAAGTGTAGTTCAGAGAGGTCCAGCAACTTGCCCGGTGGCACCACTGGCAGGAGCAGAACCAGGTCTGCTTGGGGTCAGGTGTGGCAGGGTTGTCTATGCCTGTGTATAATCCTCCTGTCCGTGTAGGGTGAATGGAGGCACTGTTAGTGGTTATTCCCAGACATCAGGTATAAACGGGGATGGTCTGGGGCAAACCAGGCCATCCTGCCCACCCTGGCTTCTCTGCTTCCTAGGAACAGAGATGACATTTTCTTACAAATTCTTATCTTTCTTCCAGAAATGCCTGATGGCTGACTGCTCAGAGGCGTTCCCACGCCCTATTAATTCCAGTGTCCCTTTTCGCTTCCAGAAAGTATTTTATCCAAATTCAAGTAAGTTTTCCAGACAACTTGCAGCAGGTGGAATGTTCCGGAACAACACTTTCAATGTCTACATGGAGAAGAGCATCGTGACAGGTCCTGACAACTACATCACCTCCTATGACCGGTTTAACTTCCACCCCAGTTACAACGTCAATAGACCATCTATCTGTGATTGAGGGGCCTCGGGATGCCAGTAGGGGTGACCTCAAGTGTGACCCCTAATCTCTCATCATTTGCCCGATTGTAAAAGTACAGACTTCACTGCTTTCTCTGGAAACATTTTTTTTCTCTCTAGATTAGAAAAATATGCAGATGGGGCTGTAATGTCCTATTTGCTCTGTTTTAAGTCTAAGATGGAAAAGATCCTCATGGCTTGACTTTCCATTAAAAACGTTGCCACATCCTGAATTCCTGACTCATTGGCAATTGGAGCAGGGCCATCCGGGGACCCAAATCTTGGCCTGATGCTAGGAATGCCTGGGTCCCCTACCCTGTGTCCTTATTGGGAGCCGGTTTATACTCGTGACAGGTTATGGAATTCTAACGCACCCTGGCGGAAATCCGCACAAACTTGGCAAGGCCATGGTGTGGTGGGAGGCTTGGGTGCCCTGCCTGGGGCGAGAACGGGGGTTGCTTGGGGAGGGAAGACTGTTCCTTTCCCATGCTGGCCAGCCTGGAGAGTCCCCGGGAATGTCCTGCAGGCACCGAGGGGGCTGGGCTGGGAGCCCTGGTCAGCGGTGCGGGGTTGGCAAGTGCCTCTTGTTGTTGGGGGGGGGGGGAGGGACGAGTGGGGGTGGGGGTGGGTGGGAAGGGACTTCTCCCATTGTGTGCACTTTCAGTTTTCAATAAAAAGTTCAAAAAGCAGCAGGCAGGGAATGACACACTCTTATCTCTGTAGCTCTCGATTGATGTTTGCTATGCTCTAGGGGGTCCTCAGTGAGAAAAGTTTTCCTGTACCGGAATCTTCCTCTTGGGCCTCAGTGTCCCTTCTCCCTTCCTGAGAGCAGGGCAGGTTCACCGTAGGAAGCCTGGAAAGCACTGTCCATGGGCAGCATCATCGTTACCGACCACTGATGGTAACTTGCTTACAAAAATTCTAGTCCCATGAAAATGGCAAGAAATAAAACACCCTGCCTGGTTACGTCTTTATTAAAACCTTTTTATTTTTAATACACAAAAGTAAACACGTTGGCAACATTCCTGGTGTCCAGTTTGGGATGGAAATGGTTTCTAGAGAAAATCGATACCGTTGATGAAAAGACACGAAGCGGAGCCTGATGCCAGGACTGGTGCGGCACCTTTCTTAGCTGCAAAACCAGTGGGCTCGGGATCCCTGGGTGGCGCAGCGGTTTGGCGCCTGCCTTTGGCCCAGGGCGCGATCCTGGAGTCCCGGGATCGAATCCCACGTCAGGCTCCCGGTGCATGGAGCCTGCTTCTCCCTCTGCCTGTGTCTCTGCCTCTCTCTCTGTGTGACTATCATAAATAAATAAAAAAAAATTAAAAAAAAAAAAACAACCAGTGGGCTCTCCAGGCATCAGACTGGAAGGGAATTTGTACAGTCCTTTGCTAAAAATACCAAAATACTGAGGATACTTCTGTGTTTAGCTTCTGTTGAAACCAAAACAAGAAATAGAGTGCCTTTTAAACCAAGTTTCTAAACTCACCAAAAAGAATGAATTCCTTCCTCGGTGGTTATGAAAGGCGGGTTAGCGACTCCAGGGAAGGACGAAGTGCCAGCTGGCCAGTGGGCTTCCCAGCGTGACCTGTGCCTCCTAGGGAGTGTGGGTGCTTTCACGCGTCCTAGCCAACAAACTGCTCTCTGTGTCAGAGCTGCGAACGAGGTAAAGCTTAGACTCTGCATGTATTCTAAATAGAATCCTCTAAATAGAACAAATGTCTGGGAAGATGGAAAACAGAAGTAACTTTGATAGAACATATGTGCCCATCTTGTGGAAAGACCGGGAGTGACTCTGGCTCGAGATCCCCATGGCCACATCCTGGGGTCGGGGTTCTGGAGCATGGGGTGGCTGTACTCCTGCTCCTGTCCGTCCACTGGGGTTCTGGACGAAGGTGACATCATCTCCTGGGGCAAGTCCCAGCCCTGCAGCTCCTGGATTGAAGCCCACCTCGGGTGGCCCAGGGAGGAGAGGGTCTGGGCATCGGGCATCAGGGCCTATGGGCCTGGCCTCGACTCTGCACACAAGTCATACAGAAACTCTGGTGATGATGAATGTCTCTTTTTTGGTACGTTTTCTGCCTGGAATCTCTACGCATGGAGTGAGGAGAAGAGTCTGTGGGTGGGTGGTCCTATGGGGGCTACAGGAGCACACCCCAAGTCAGCCTGCGACCAGGGTCGGGGTGGGGGTGCTGAGGGGCGGGAAGGACCTCTCCACTCTCTGACCTGGGTCCTGACTTCTCTTGAAGTGCTTGCTGCAGTTACAACAGTTAGCCAAGAGGCGAGTGCAACATCTCCAGACTATGTGGCCGGGGAGGCCTGTCTTCACCCCCCAGGAGGCCTGGCCCCGTGGGGACAATTTCTCCCACCAGAAGACTAAACCCCGAGAGGTAGGGCTTCAGAAGACTTTGCTACTTCGTCACTCGGTGTGGCTGTGGGTGGGGCGGAGAGCAGCGACCTCCTCACTGGACAGGGGTTTTCACATCCGTCTGTAGACTTCTCTCCAGTAGCTTTTCACCTTTCAGTTATAGTCACTTAGAAGAAACAGTTTCAAACAGATAGGAGGTTCGTCAACACGGCGGAGAGGTGGGGGGAGGAGTATCCCTCTGTCCAGAACACAGAAGAGCAGAAGTACCAAAGATTCTGGAAATAACTGCTCCCCACTGCTGGTCAGCCTCGCCTGGAGCAGACCTGGCTGTGGTTTGCAGACAGGGATGGTGGGTCCCTTAAGTAGGCCCTTAAATTAATTTGGGGGGGGGGTTGGGAATCGAGGTGGCAATACTTACATGCTAGGAGCAGGTGCTAGTTACTTAGATTTAGGGCCTGGTTTCCTGATGCATGTGTGTCTCAGCTTGGGAAAACCTGACAATTCAGATTCTGAGCAACAGGAAGAACTAGTGACCCTTGCCTGTGGGAGAAAGACCCTTCTTCTCTAGATGTGGGTGGTGGGCATCACACATTAGCCAGCAGGGCCCTCCCTCCCCTCCCACCTCCCTTCTATTCCACCTGTGCCCATTCTTTCCAGAAAGATGCAGTGAGTCCCAGGATGACTTGAAAATCAGGCTTCTCCCCTTCTTTGCATGAAATGAATGAACCTCTGGCCCTCTCCCCCCACAAACCCCTCCTTCCCTGGGAAATGAGGGCGTAGCTTGGATGTGACTCATGGAAGCTCCTAATGATTACAGCTTGACTTGGTAACACATCATCCCTCCGACGGCCCAGGTGGGTGCCTATCTGGCATCCCACGCGGGAGCTCCCAGGACACTGCCCTTTGCAGCTGCAGCGCCAGGCCCTCCTCGCTCACCCTACCACAGTCCCCTTTCCAGACAGGTTGCAGGGGCCCAGCGTGCGCCAGAGTTGACTTAGGGTGTGGGTGCAGAAGCAAGAGCTTGTTGGCAGTTCCAGAGACAGGGCTCATGCCCAGCGTGTGTGAACACAAGGCGCGTGTGAACAGCTTGGCCTGCGCTGCCCAGTAACCACGCAGAATGGAGCTGGGTGTCGCAGAGGCCGCAGGTACCCAGGAGGCAGGGAGGGGGCATGTGCAGAGGGTACTGGGTCTGGGGGAGACCCACCAGGGCAAGGGGTGCTCAGAGCTAAATGCACGAGTGGACCCTATCACCATCCCACAAAGGCCACCCCAGGGAAGACAGGCTGGGTCAGCTGATTCATGAGCAGTGCTTCATTTATTAGCATTTTAAAAACCCATTTCTTATGTACAAAACAGGCTGATTTTGATTTTCAAGTGTTAAAAGCACTTCTTAAAAAATTAAATAAAATTTAAAGCATGGATTACAGGAATTGAATTATTTTCCCTAGAAGCCAAGTGAGCTGGAAAATGCACCCCTCGAGAGCCAGGCAGGCTGAGGGCACACAGGTGCTCGCCGGCATGCGGGTACAGGGATCGCGGCTAAACCCTGGGAAATTCACTCGTATGTTAGAAGACCAACTAACCTCGGCTGGGAAGTCAGCCTGGCTCCAAGCCCATCATGCTAAATTGCTAAGATGAGTGGTAAAAGTCGGGGTCACTAATGAACATCTGCCACACAATGGCATGCCAACACTATGACTGCTGAGTGCCCACCCCATGGGACAGGGCCCCTCCTGTCTTCACAGCGGCCACAAGCACAGAGCCTCTGGGCAGAAGGCACTGGAAGCCACGCTCTTCTCTACCCTGCAAGGCCCTGGCTTGGCTCTGATGCAACATGAGGCCCCGTGCCCTGCCCACAACCTTGTGCTGTGCAGTGTGAACTTGCCCTGAAGAGGCCCTGGTCCCTGGAGGGTGCTGGGCCTCATCCTGGGCTCTAGAGGCGTCTGGGCACCAGAACTCGTCCAGCAGTTCTCACCTCGTGTATTCCTGCACACGGATCAGGACTGGGACGTTTAAAACATACGCATTGTTTGTTAAATTTTGGAACCGTGACTGAAAATGGAGAACAGTGGCTCCAAAAGAAAAAGAGCTTTATTAAGCTGTTAGAATCACGCAGGGGTTGCACAGGGCTGGACGTTAAACCCCATGGGCCGGGGCATGGACCAGACGTGCCACTGAGCCTCACTCGGCATTTCCACATGCAACTGGAGATGGTCGGCCTGTGCGCTCGCTGGTCTTTGTGCTTTGAGATGTTCTCCTATCGAGGCCACAAGTGCTGTGTCCAGAAGGCTCACTCTGGCCTTGTGGGGCTGGGGCCTTCATGTTGCAAGTGCTGTCCAGCAGCTTCCCAGAGGAGACCTCTGCAGGCGCTTTCGTGAACCTAGGGGCGGGTGGGTGGGTGGCGACTCCTGCTTCCCAGATACTTTCCAGCAGCGATCGGCCCAAACTATCAGTCAGGGTCACTTTAACCCTGGCTGCGATGGTCAAGTGTCCACTCGTCTAACACTCACATGGACACCACGCAAAGCTGCAGGTAGGCACGCCCTACGAAATCCAACAACTGTATTTTCCAAAAATACTTTTTACAGCACTTTAAATAATTTACAAAAAAGCTACAAAAATCATATTTTCCAGGACACATCTGTTAAATAACACCATCACTCCCAGCGGATATAATATGTACAGGGCGGCACAGAGGGATTTCTGGTTTCTCTCCTGGGACGGCGAGCGTCATGCGCACACACACGGATACATGTGTGTCTATCTGCTTCCCATAAAGATGGAGCCTGCGAGTGTCCTTACGGCTGGAGGGC